CAGTTTTCCTAATGCCACCACTAAATAATTGTTCTTTTTTCAGAGATGTGTGCTGTCCTCACTTTGATATCATATGTTTAAGTTCCTTATTTATGCACTGGTCTCTTTCTGAATTTTAAGTTAAAACTCTCTAGCCTATTTGCCTGTTCTTGTGTAGAAGCCATACTAGAAATTTTGGGGATGTCCAACTCACATTTCAATAAATATACCAATACATGTCCATCATGTTTGAGGTCAGATTAGAAACTCCCACCTTGCTAAATCTGACCCAAGACATCATTTTAATAAGCCAATAAACATTAAAATCAGAAAAATAAAAACAAAGGATTACTTACGAAAGAAACCACTAAGGAGTCAGTAATTCATTCACTCACTCAGTCATTCAACAAACATTTATTAGGCAAGTATTATGTTCCAGGATTCACGATGGTTAGTGCTGAGGATACAGGGAGAGCAGAAAAAGGTCAACTGCAGTCACGAAAATGTAGTCTCTGGTGAGAAACAAAATTAATCAAATAATTATTCAAATTTAACATCGTAATTATGATAAGTGCTCTAAGGAAGAGCAGCCATTTAATGAGGAAGATTTGACCTCATGAGAGAGGATTTGACTTGGTGGGGGAGAAAAATAAAAGTTGCAGGTACAGAGAAGAGCACAGACAAAGCACCTCTGGTGGAAGGAGCCACCTGAGTACAGAGGTCTGAGAAAATGCGGATGTGTTTGTGTGAGGCGGCGGTATCTAGAGGTCAGAGAGCGCGGAAGAAGCCGGGCAATGAGAGTGCGGAGACACAGCCAGCAAGGGGAGGAAGGAAACAGGGGACGATGCTGCCAAAAAAGCGGAGAGTAAATAAGTCCGAGAAGAGGTGATCTCACGAAATAGCGAGTTTCTTGCCCCCAGATCCATTTACGAAGAAAGTAACGTTTCATAATTCATGAGCAGATTTAACGAATGACATTTGTGTTAGCGATTTTTCATCCTTATAGAATGCTGAGTATATTATCATTTCGCTCTTACCTTGAGATTAGTCTTCTCTTTTCTTTTACGAAGGAGTCAGCAGAGGTAAGTGGCAGGCGGAGACTGCCTGTCCAACCCAATACATTTCTCTAGATGGAGCACATATCCTTTCTGTTTTTGTCACAGCATTCCCAGTGTTGAGAACAATGCCCAGGACATAGTAGGCACTCAACAAATACTTGTCAAATTAGTTAATTAGTAAAGCAAACAGTTGCAAATGTTGTAGTTTGTTCCTTCATAGTACTGGGGTAGGGGAGATGTGTCAATGGCCTCCTTTATTTAAGGCAGAGCAGACACAGGAAACCATCCCTGGTCACCTGCGATACAACAGCCTCAGAATTCATTCATTGGCTTGTTTTTACTGAGGGTCTACTAAGTGAAAGTACTCTATCCCTTATTTATTTCAAAAACATAATTTGAAAGGTAATGGAAATTGAATGTGATTCGTACCCTCTTTTATTTGGGACAGTTTCGAAGAGAACATCAAAGAAATGTGGACAGCACTACAAAATAAATATGCTATTTTTTGGACAATGCAGCATTTTAAAACTTGTCTTCCATTATAAAGGGATTCTTTAAAAAAAAAAGTTGATCCAAATTTTCAGAAAGTACAAAACTAGCACAAGCTGCAGCATCTTAGTGTTGTGCAGTTAATCCATTTGAATCAGACAAGGTCCAGGGGTCGTGTTGAGGAGAAGAGGGTTGAAGGATTTGGGAGCGGTGAATGAATTAACACTGGGGTTCAGCCCTAGACCAGGAGCTGAGGAGAGAACAGGGCGCTGTCACATGGATGAGGCGGGGTGGGCGATGAGTGGGCTGTAAAGAAACGGCAGCAGTGGGGAGAAGATGGACACCCACACTACCCACCGCTTAGAATATGTTAGGTTCTATTCTGCATGTTTTTCGTGCATCCTGTCACTTAATCTTGGAACAACTCTGAGAGGTAAATATTCTAACTGTGCTCATTTTATTGTGGTTGTCAGATGTTTTCCTCTGTACTTTCACCTGTAGAGTAACTAGACAGTGTCCTCTAATCTTGTTTTTTCCCTTAGGTCTGTTTCCTTTGCTTTGGGCTTCCATTCTGTGCCACTGGCCACACCACGATTGATTCACCCTAAGGATCCCGTGTCCACATAGGCCTTCCTCTCCAGGCTGCCATAGTGGAATCATGCAGAGAAAGCTGTCTCTGTGGACACATCAGTGAGGAAGTGGGGTGTTTTTTGTTGTCAATCATTGACGGACAGTTTCTGCTTTCCGAAATTAGAAAATCGTGAAGCTAGGCTGCAGAGATGTGCCCCGAGGGTCTTGGGTTGCTGTTTGTCCATCTCTTTAAGGACAATCCTGGTTCTGACTTTCTATCTGGAAAGGAACACCCATGTGTAGCCAACCTTCTCAAAAATCGGCCACAAGAAGTCTAAATAGTTTAATTTTGGATGTGGAAGTTACCCTAGACAGCATCCCGTGTTACTTTAATTATCTTACTTAACAAATGGGAGTGCAGAGGGCTGAGATTACATGAGGGGCCCAAGACACAAAGGAACTCGGTCCTAACTTTTGGTCTCGCACATCCTTTACTATAGCACAATGGAAAACCAGTTCAAGTCCGCAGAATCACCTTCACAACCTAAAGGCATTCTTAAAACAACAACAAAAAAAGTCCTATTCTTACATTTCATTGTCTCCAAATTTATACCTGTTGCTTCAAAATTGAATTACAGAAGAATCTATTTTAGAAGCCAGATAGTCTAATCTCAATCCATTAAATAAAGTGGGCCCCCTTGTTTAGAATTTGTATTTCATTTGTTTAAAAAAAATTCACAATGAAAACACAAAGAAACAAATACCCATTTTAATAAGCTCAGTTATTTAGTGTGAAAGATGAAAATAAATACCTAAGGCGAGTTCTTTTCAAATTGCTCTTCTCCCCTTTTCTGGAATGTGGAAAAACGCGGCCACCCTTAGGCACTGGAAGTTAAGGTATAGGCAAGAGTTTGAAAGTGTCCTGTTGTCGAGGACTGTGATGATAGCCTGAGCAGACTTCTAGAACCTGAAACTCGCTTGCTTCTCTTCCTCTGGAGAGCTTCATGCTAGAGATCACGACATCATCATTAATAGGATGAAGTGTGTTTGTGAAATCATGGCTGGAAAAACATGAGGGTTAATAAATATGGAAGCAGAAAGATGTTGATCATAGTCTCATGCTGATGACCCAGGCTTATTTTACAAGTAAAGTTTCAATGAGAACTTTTATAAATATGAAGACAATAGAACAGCTCATTATGTGTCATTCAGTAATAAAATAGAGCATAGGACTAATACATAGAATGTAAGGCAGGTACCGTCTGACAATACATTTTAAATTAAAATATATGGTCAATATGGTAAGAATTTTGGCTCTGTGTATGATGACATTAGGATGGTACGTACTTTCAAAAACTGAAATGAGAGTGCATTGGTGGCTTTTCAAACAGGTTTCTCCACGCATCTCTGCAGAGCCAAACCAAATGAAATGGAACAGACAGGTTTCTCCTTTGTAGTCAGACTTTCCTGGTTTAAGCCAGTAATTGAAAAGAGGGGCAGGAAGATGAGTCAGAGGCCCTGTCACTGCTTTCTGAAGGGCTGCAAGCAACTCACTTTTATACTTTAATCTTCTAAATTAAGCACTGCATTAATCCATCCAGTTAAGGAATGCTTCAAACCAAAACATATATTTTATCCTATTCTTTTTCTTTCTTTCCCACCGACTCTGGCTTTGGTGTTGGGAAAGGAAGAGAGAAAGCTCTGCTAGACGTCCGGGAGTCTAATTTAGGAGATAAGTTATAAGCGGGTCACTGGTTGGCTTTAACTACAACACGGGAGGGTCTTGGAGAAAATCAGTGGCCACATTTAGCCAATGTCTAGGACCTCAGGAGATGCATTTTCTATAGTAATTCACACTTGATGCCTGGATTCCCTTGTTCGTTCTATCTATCTATCTATCTATCTATTTATTATTGTAATTTTCTTGCATCATTGCCATACTGGCCATGAAATTTCTTTAAGAAAAAAACAAACAAAACAAAAAAACCCAAACCAAAACAAAACCCAAACAAGACCCCGAGAAAGGTGTGTCACAGATGAAAACCCTGTCTGAACTGCACTTGGATGTCTGCAGTAAATTCACTGCAGCAAAGAGTATGTAAAACAGTCACCCTGGGGTCAGCCCTCTAACAGGTGGGCCATGGGCAGCTGTGACACAAAATGCGACCTCTGCAGCTCCCCGGCGGCCTTTGCAGGTCCGAAACTGAACCCGGCGCGCTGGGCGGAGTCGGGGCCGTGAGCGCGCTCGGGTCCGCGCCCCTTCCCGGGCCGGGCGCGCTCAGGGAGTGAGTCTTTGTACAGTCAGGGCTTCGGCTGGGCAGGGCCAGCTGTTAATCCTCCAGGCGGACACCGGGGCGGGGGGGAGATGGGGCATATAGGTGGCGTCCACCGGTGAGAAACACCTAGCGCAGGTAAAAGGGTGGCGGCGAGAGGGAGTTCCCACCTGTTGCATTCTTCCAGAAATGAAGACTTAAGAAAATACCAAGGAGGGGCCGATCAGTGTCTTTCGGACGCGCCTGGAGCTCCACCCTCGGTCAGAGGAAAAGCCCCTGGGCTCAGAGGCAGGAGCTTCAGAAAAGCCAAGAAAAGCGGCTGCCTGCGCGCTCCACTTCCTCTGCCTC